CTTATTTCAACAAGTGTAAGATTGTTTTGGAGTTTCGAAAATTCCCATAAGAGAATTCAGAATACTAGTACGTGCCATAAAAGACAGGATTAACTGACTCCTGCCCCAGAATTCCCACGTAGATCCACCAGCCAGGAAGAAGTATCTTTTAGCGTCCTTGCATGAAACGTATGTAAAATGATTCACGAAGGGCAGAGAAAACAGGCACCTACTTATGCGGTCTTCCTCGATTAGCATGCAAAAATGATGGTAGAATTTAACAAGAGGTAATAGCCAGTGTGTCAATCAATAGGACAGATGGGAGAGGCTGGCTGGCCGGACGAAGGCCCCATGCTGACACAAGAGTGCGTGATTTAAGGCGTTGTAACACCCTGTTCGTGAATTGGAGTCGTGAGAGAAAGGCTGCAGTCAGAAAGCTGTAAACGTGCATGCGTTCTCTACTGAAATCATTCACTTGCAACTCGGGAATTGGTCGAATTGGACAGTCTATCGATGCGCGAACTGAGTACTTGTCAGAATAGCTGCAGCACTAAACCACTATTGTCATGCTTTTCTACCCCGGGGGCATCCGAAAGGGCATCCCTATGAGTCGAAGGGTAGGCAGAAACAATGAGCACGCAGATAGAGAGAGAGAGTCCTGTCTGATCAGATGAAGGTGACCTTCGACGACCTATGCTAGTTGCAAGACACAGTGCAGTTTGGTTCTCATCGCTAGCGTCTCAGAATTTCTCTTCTGTGTGACAACTTGGGAGTTGGGTGGGTATATGCTAGGTCGCAAAAAGAAGGCTCCCACAGTATGAGCTTTTTGTACAAATTAGGAGTTAAACTCCTGACGCGCGGGAGGTAAGGCGGTCGGGCCTAGAAGTGGTAATTGCCTTAACAGATCTCACCCCCTCACATCGTGGTAAAGAAACCATTACTGCTTATTTCGGTGTCAACTTAACCACCCTGGAGCTTGCAAGATGCACGATAGAGAAAGAGTAACGTGCGACTCCATAACGTCTCCCACTATGCCGATCTCCACTTAAATTAAATTTACGTATTATATTTAGCAAAAGCATTGCTCAACTTTATCTCTACTCACTTTCACCTCCCACTGTACGAATGCTCCCCTTCCACAAATTTACCATTCACTCCGTACTCACCTATATTTGTAACTCGACTGATTGTAGATAAAAAGAAATTCCTCTTTATCTTTTAAAACAAGCGTAGACAACAGGATTTATTGAATTCAACAAATTTCACGACGATTTTTCAACTGAATCACGTCAGACAACGGTTAGAAGCATACAGCAGATGAATTTTTTTTACAGAATGTCATAGTTCAGCGTAAATGATGATCAACTGAATAGCACTAAATTATATCAGCCTATAGGGAGAAAAGGAGGGGAGAAAGCTGGCGAAAACCAAGTCGTGTTTAAAACTAGCTGCCCAATTAAAAAGTGATTGGAGATTGACCACGTGGTCTAGCTGCTTGCACAGGTCGGGTTTCTCCCGCTGTATGTAGGCCACTTCCAAGTACCGCAGGGTCCGATTCGTTCGTGCTCCGAAAGCTGTTTTAATTTCGGCTGAGTGACCACTGTCTAGCAAGTGTCTAGAAACCGAAGATGGTGGTAGTCTGTCTTCTTGCTTGAAAAGCCAATAAGGCAAGTGTTCAGCGGCCCCAGCGTACGCCCAACAAGTGCACGTGAATTCATATATGCAATTTGCGGTAGCGTACAACAGCAAGGCATCAGTTGCCCCTTTTTCCGGAAGTCTTTTAGCACGACTGATAAAGAAAAGTTCAGTTGCGTTGAAGGTCCTTTCTATATTAACACACAACCGTCGCTTGATTGTATTCAAAATACAATCACACTTTAATGATAAGGATATAATTACGGAATGTTTTGGAACTGACTGTTACGTC